CCTAGTGCCTCTTTACCTTAGAGTAGGGGTGGGCAAAATATGGCCCATGAACTGGATCTGGCCTGCCAAGGTATTCTATCCAGCCTGGCCCAGGCATGGGAGGCAGCCCAGACTGTGGTGTATGCTGCTGGTCCCACTGCCCCCAAGCGTGGCAGGATGGGGGCAGTGCAGCAGTGGGACTCCGATTTCCAGCAGTCCCCTCCTTCCACATGCCTCTGCTAGTGTCTCCACCACTGCCAGCCCTGCTGCCCATGCACTCTGGCCCATCTGCCCCACATGCACTTTTGGGGGTGCCAGATGGAGTGAGCAGGCGGGCAAGCAGGGTTTCCAATGAGACCAGCCCTGGGACACCCAGGCAGGGTGTGCTCAGCTGTGGGTGAGTGGGGAACAGTGTTCAGGAACAGGACAGGCAGGTAGCGGCCAGGGCAAGGGTCACAGGGCAGTCACAGTGCAGGGCTGGGGCCTGGGGCAGAGCTGGGCTCCACTCCCTGCATGGTCCTGCCATGCAGGGAGTGGATCATGGCTCTGCCCTGGGCCCTGGCCCCACACTGTCACCACCCTGCAGTCCTGGCCCCAGTCCCACCCACCTGCCCTGCTCCTGGACCCCACTCCCCACCTGAGTGTGCCCTGCCCACTGGTGTCCATGGAGATCCTGTCTGCCTGCTCTGGTGCCCCTGGTAGCGTGTGCAGGGCAGACAGGCCTGGGCCAGATAGGTTCGATTGTTCTCCTGCTGTGCTGAGCTAGGCCAGCTGGGCAGCACCCCTCAGCCCCCTTGCCCAGCCTCCAACAGCTCACCAAATTTCCTAAAGTGGCCTCCAGCCAAAATAATTGCCCACCCCTGCCTTGGATCATGGCAAGCTCAAATAGCACATTTTATGCGTGAGGCTATTTTCCGCTTAAAGTTAAGGATGTCTATTTTGGTTTTTCAGGATTGGACACTTGGTAAGAAATCCTTTTAGCTATTGATAAAGCATTAAAAAATAAAACAAAAAGCACACACTTATGGTGTTTACTTGAACAGAAAGAGGGTTGAACACTATATTAATAAACTGGCAAGTTTGTAAAATAGCAAGTGTTATCACCACAAGGTGAATCAGAAATGAGTCAAAGTCTTGCTGAATAAAGGCACATTTCTTTTTATTGTTACTAATTATTGAGGAGTGGAACCTGAATTTAGGTACTCTTGGCAGAAGGAAGCACTGTAATGGTCAGAACAAATGTTGGCGTCTTTTTTGGTCTATTAATTTCTCTTGCTGAATATTTTAGGAAATAACTAAACCTGGAAAACAGTGCCTGGTTATGATTTCTCTTTTCCAGCAAAAAAGTTCCACCAACTTCAGTGAGGTTGTAATTTATCAACAGGATGACATCAAAATCATGTCCATAATGTCTATAATAAGATAACGTGTTGCTTGAAAAATGTAAGGTGCCTTTGATAACTAGTGCTCATAGAAGGTCAGGCCTACTAACTACTTGGAAATCTCTTTATATGCAACTTGCAAAAAACAGTTACTGAAACCTTCAGAACCCTGTGTAAAACTCTACTTCTATTTGACTGTGCAAAGAAGAATAGCCCCTTGATTTTAATGGATTTTAGTGGCACAGAGATTAGAACTTGAAATCCCAAAACAGAGCAAAGTAGCTACAGATTTTTACTAGACAAAAGTCAATTTTAATAGTGTAGCCTTTCCTAGTTATAATAATTGTCACTTACCTTTTTTGTTTGCTTCTATATAGCATACCTAGTACTTCATGCTCTCTTGTCCTTGTGGGACCTTCCCTTTCTGTTTTTATTCAGAGCCAGATTTGTTACTTACACTGTTATTTACTGTTCCATTGTCTTCAGAGGGAAATACTCTTGTTGGCTTCAGTGAGCAGTGGATCAAAGCCTTTAAGCAGCCTTTTATTAATGCACAGATTCAGAAATATATGTAAGCCTATATCTAACTTCAAAGAATAGTTAGAACCATGTACAAGTTACTAACTCATAGATGTGGAATATCTTGGGAAGACAGCCCATATACAGGCATAGCTTAAAATCGTGTTTTATGGTGGTAAAAGGCCTTAGAACTGAACACCTCCGTTTTATCAGTATTTTTTAAAGCATTGAAAGTAAGAGCAGTTGGCTCATACCATAGTGAATACCTTTCACCTACCTGTTCGTGGTACAAGGATGGTGTGACATTCCTTTTTCCTTCTGTCTCCCACCCAATCCCTCCCCCCCACCAAAAAAAAAGTACTACAACAGTATTAGGGCAGACTCCTCTTCCCTCCACCCATTTATTCCCTCCAGGTTTTTGACTGTGTAGTTCTACAGCAGTAGCTAAGCACCTTCTGTCTCACGGAAGTTAAGTTACAAGACTTCAGGTCTAGAAGTAACATGTCACACTTGCAATTTACATGCAAATCAGAACAGCACTATTATACAATCACTTTGCAGAGGGGTAAATAACAAATTATGCTCTTGGGCTCTGCTTTTTCATAGTCTTTCAAAATATACTTTTTTTTTCAATTAGCATCATTCATATTAAATTATTTCTAGACAGTGTTTTCTATTTTAGCATTGAAGAAATAGGTGTCCCGTGAATTTTGAACACCTTGGTGGGATGCGTCTAGTGCATGGGTAGGCAGTGTTTTTTGATCGGAGTGCCGAAAACCCCCACAATGCCTACCTTGGAAGGTGCCAGAGTGCCGGCATACCAGAAAAACAAAATGAAGGCAGGGGGTACATGGCAGGATGCCCTGTGTGTGTCCCTTGCCCCCACCCAAAGCCCCCGCCCCCTCAGTCCTGCTGCCCCTGCCCTCCAGCCTGGGCTCTGTGGCTGGCAGCAGCTACCCAAAGCTGGGGCCAGCTGCAGCCAGGAGGCTCCAAACAGCTGTGCCGGGCTTTGGAGACCTGGCATCAGTTCCATACCAGCACATGCACCTGCGCATCAGAGCAGGTGGTGGGGAGGGGCCTGAGGCAGTGCAGCCCTGGTCTCTCCCCTGCTCTCAGCATAGAGCTGGTGATTGGGCTCTGGAGCCCAGCACAGCTGTTTGTAGCCAGCCTGGGCTATGGGCAGCTGCAGCAAGCAGCAGGCAGGCTGCAAACAACTGTGCCGGGCTCCACAGCTCTGGCATCAGCTCCATGCTGGCAGCGACTGTGCGTGCACCTCAAGTCAGACAGCAGGCAGCTGGGACGATGCAAGCCCTGCTGGGAGCAGCCTGGGCTCCAGCAGCTACCCAGAGCCAGGCTGACTGGCCATGGTGTGCTGAGCGAAATGGCCTTGTGTGCCATACTCGGCACACATGCCAGGGGTTGCTGACCCCTGGTCTAGTGTCTTTTCGTGGCTTTCTGGTAGGCTGTGTTGTGGTTCAGATCTAGCACTTGTACTTCTCTTTGCATAATATCTTTTCATAAAGACTAAATTAAAATTGTATATTTTTATGATAAAACACTTTCCACAAGAGAATGAATTGAGGGGAAGGCAAACAAAGCCTGCTGGCTTTCTGAGCATGTGAGAAAATAATTAATCTTTGAGATTTTTTGTGCTCTGCATTGTATTGGACAGAATGGATATTAGGCAGACTCCCTTGTTCCTTTTAGAGCCATTATTGTTTTAATAAGACTTCATTTCCTGAAGGAAGCCTTTTTTCACCCCCTAGAGATTCCATTTAACTAAGTAATAGGAGGTTCAAAGAGCTTGCTTTTTAGGACCCCTGTATTGAGTGTTTAGGTCCAGCCCCTCCAATTAATCCCTTGACTTCCCAGAAGTCACCATACTTTTGGCACAGCTGATTAATTTATGCTTAGAAAAAGGTTATGAGTGGAAACATGATGTAGAATAACATGTACCACTAATGTGTCCTGTACAGCAGTGTGGGAAATGTTTTTATTCTTTTTGGAAACTAAAGTCCTTTTTAGGACCTCTGTTAACACTGCCACTTTTTATAAGTTAATGTAAGACAGAATAAGAAAATTATTTACATGTAAGCTTCTTAAAATTATGTTGGTTCCACTGTTGGAAATTCTGTTTCTTCTGAGTGAATTCCAGAAAAGTTTGCTTATTTCTATATCTTAATAATACAATTAGAGGTGCACTGATACATTGGTCCATATCATATCGGCACTGATAAAAGGAAAATTGACATTATTGGCAATTGGCTTTTATTGGCTGATATAGTTGATAATGTTGGCGATTTAAATGCCGTGTGCATGCGTGCAGCCACAGCATGCACACAGCCAGGAACGCAGCCTGGCAGCTTGGAGAGCAGCATCCATCTGGGAAGTCTGTCAGGGGAGAAGGGGCACGAGGGAGGGAAGGAGTGTAAGGGAGGCAGATTGAGGCCTCTGCAGTGAGGGAGCATGTGGGGATGGGCACGGGCAGTCGCTGCCTAGCCAGGGCAGGGCACAGGATGGAGCTGGGGGGGTGGTTCCTGCTGTAGTGCACACCCCTGGGGGAGGCATGGGGGTGTTCCTTGGAACTGTGTGTGGGGCAAGGGCAGGTTTCCACTGTGGGCTGGGGCCGGAGGCTTTGCCAGGCTCTTCCTGGCACAGGGTGGGGAGGGCTGGGCCGGATGATGGTGGCACTGGGAGTGGGGGCTACAGTGAATTTTAGGGTGGCTGTAGCCCATCCATAACCAACCGCTGCCCGCCCTGCCCCACCTGAGCGCAGCCCCAGCCTAGCTCCTGCCTCAGCCCCACTCCTTCCTTCACCCTGGGGGGCCTCAGTTTGCCTCCCCTGCCCCTTCCCTTCCCCTCCTTCCCCACAACAGACGTATTAGCTGGACGCTGCTCTCCAAGCTGCTGGGCTGCATATTGGCAGTCAGATCAATATTGGCCAATATGGCTGGTCAACAATCGGTATCAGCCCAAAAAATCCTTATTAGTGCAACGTTACAATTTGAAACTATACGTCTATTGACAAAGCTAAGGTTTTTGATAACCACTAATGCCTTTCTTTCAAGGAGATATAGGTATGTTATTCTATTGTAACTGGAATCTATCTCTGTTTTTCAGATAATCATAGGAGAAGCCCTGTCTGTCTATTATAACCATTTGCACTCAAATTCGTTTGTCAGAAATAACTACATAGCCACTATTTACAAAGCCATTGGGACATTCATTTTTGGTGCGGCTGCTAGCCAATCACTGACAGACATTGCCAAGTACTCCATTGGTAGACTGCGGCCTCACTTCCTGGCTGTATGCCAACCTGATTGGACACAAATCAACTGCAGTCTAGGTTACATTGAAAACTTCCCGTGCCAAGGAGACAAAGCAAAAGTAAATGAAGGAAGGTAAGTCTCCAAACCACATGTATTGTATTGGAGGCTATTGTTATGTATATGAAATCCCTAAATATAATGATAATTTGATTGGTTGGTTACTGTTATGGGGCACACTTCCACTGGATGAAGAGATATGGTGAACCTGCGGAAGAGTTGTTCAGGCACTGGCATTTCTGTCTCTTCCAAACCCACATAAATTATTTATTATAATACCAAAAGGACATGATAGCAGTGAACACAAAAGATACTGTCTTAAACTTTGTGCTTGTAATAGAATTTAGGTAACTAAATGTGTTCCCCTTTGAACTGGTTGTTTTGGAGAAAATGAAATAAAATGCAGTGAGGCAAAGGCAAATTATTTCAATTCACAGTGAAGAGCAAAGCACGAAACTACTTTCTGAATGGAGAAAGATTTGAATTAAAACTAAATAACTTTTAAATGTAGAAGAAATGTAACAAAACTCCAAGTAATCTATGTAAAATATGTAAGACAGGCAAGAGGAATACTTTAGTTCAAACTCCACTAAACAATATTTATTTAAATATAATAAATGCTTACTAATTTTTAAAAGGAGGAGGGAATCAGAAAACTAAAACAAAATTTTGTCAGACTGACATCTGTCTGTGATCTTCTACAATAGTAAGGATGGACATTTGAAAGCATGTTACAGAATAATTAACATGACTCGGGCTCCCTGCAAATCTCTTAATATGATTTTTGTGTGTGTCTATGCAGTAAACTTTTTTTTACAAAAGTAGCTTTTTGGTGAAGTTGGGATGAAGTGAAGTACATTTGTCAGGCCCCCCTCTACATGGGTTCATAGATGCTAGAGTCAGAAGGGACCTCAACAGATCATCGAGTCCGATCCCCTGCCTTGGCAGGAAAGAGTGCTGGGGTCAGATGACCCCAGCCAGATGCCTATTGAGCCTTCCCTTAAAGACCCCCAAGGTAGGGGAGAGCACCCCCTCCCTTGGAAGCCCATTCCAAATTTTGGCCACCCTTACTGTAAAGTTTTTCCTGATATCTAACCTAAATCTGCTGTCTGTCAGTTTGTGACCATTGTTCCTTGTTACCCCAAAATGCGTCCTGGTGCACAGAGCATCTCCTATTCCCTTGCTGTGTCCTCCTGCTGAATTTGTAGGTGGACACAAGATCACCTCTCAGCCTTCTCTTGTGGAGGCTGAAGAGGTCCAGGTCCCTCAGTCTCTCCTCATAGGGCTTCTCCTGTAAGCCCCTTACCATATGAGTGGCTCTCTTCTGGATCTTCTCGAGTCTATCAACATCCTTCTTGAAGTCCGGCGCCCAAAATTGGGCGCAGTACTCCAGTTGCAGTCTGACCAATGCCACATAGAGGGGATGTATCACCTCCTTGGTTCTATTTGTCATGCATCTGCTGTTAAAGTTGCAGTGGGATCTAATGCACGGTCTACACAATCTGTTTCCTGCTATGCCACACATGCATGGCAAGAGGTATGACTGTGGGATCATACATTAGATCCCATCATGTCTTGTTGCCAGTGCAGGGGGAGCCTGATCCTGGGCTCCCCCTGCACCAGCAACAAGCAAGCTCCTGTGGCTGGGAGCCCCATCAGTTGATGAGCTCCCAGCCATGGGGGCACCCCACATACCTCCAAGGGTGGGGGATTGCAGCTGCCACGATCTCCCAGGCTCAGGGGTGTGTGAAACCCACCCCTTGGGCCTGGTGGATCATGGCTGCCACAGTCTCCTGGGCTTAAGGGTATGTGAAATCCCTGGGCCTGGGGGATCATGGCAGCCATGATCCCCCAGTCCTGATGTTTCAAACAACTCAGGGGCAGCCATACCACCCTAGCTGCTGGGACCCAGCTGGTCCCACCACCCAGTGTCCACAGCTGTGGGACTCCAGGTCCCCATGCTGCTGGGACCCAGAGTTGGCAGCTGCTGGGGCTGAGAGGCCCCTCAGCTGTGGGACTCCCATCCCCAGCTGGGCACGATGCATACCTGCTACTGGGAGCCTCTTCAGCTGATGTGGCTCCCAGCCGCAGGAAAGTCCCTGCTACATGTGCAAATTAAACTCAATAGCAACTAGCTATAAAGTTAATACACATTTGGTATGTGATAGCTTCTTTGCATGTGGAGCTAGTCTTAAGTTAATTGTGCCAGTTAATTGCATGATACCGATAACATGTAGATGGGGCCATGGTGTATATTTAGATTTAGATTTTTTTCCATCTGCCTCCACTCCAGCCCCATACCCCCCCCAACTTCAGTACTAACCAGCTCTCCCCAAAATCTGTTCAGAGCCCTAATATTCCTTAACAGAAAAATGTTCCATGTTAAATGTGTTTGGAACATGGTTTTGGCCCTTAGACATAGCTGTTAAAGAAGCTGGTAGCTGTGTGTGTTGGAGAGAATTTGGTCCTTGATTTGGAAAACTGTGGCATTATGTTATAGCAAACAAAATATTTTGCAGGAGTGGGGGGAGGGAAGGAGCGGGTCTGGGCCCAATGGGGGGGGGGAAGCAGTGGGCCCGAGCCGACCTGGTGGCAGTGTGGGGACAGGAGGAGTGGGCTCAAGGCCTACGCAAAGGCAGGGGTGGGGGAAGGAGGCTCACTCCTTGCCTCCCCCC